AACGATGTAATCTCTAATGTAATATCAACATGGTCATCCATGCATTCACCATTCAGTGATCGTTGTAATCAAAAGGCTCTACAGTGTACTTGCTTATGTACTATCGACCACATGCATGTAGCTCTATTATTCTCTCACTGCACTAAACAAAAGTAGCGAACAAAGTCTCTTTGAAGTTATACGATTCTTCTTAAATATTCTTTCCTTTTCTACAAGTGAAAGTGAGAAATCTACTCAAAATTTCTTCATTTCTACGAAATTTTGGTGTAAAGTTTGATCAAGCTAATTTAACATAGCGATCTCGGCTGGATATTATGGACCTTGAGCAAACCAGGACGACGACGGCAACGAGGATTTACTGAGCATGCTCCGGTTGTTCAAAGGGCGGATAACGCTAACCAACAGATAAATCGCTATCGAGCAGATAAGTGTTACCAAAACGTACTGCGCTATCCACCGGATAGAGATTTATCCAGTATATAGCGTTGTCCATCCTTCGAACAACCGGGGCAAGAACAATAGTTTAGCGTGTGCATTTTACAACTTTGTAGATTCTCAGCCGTCCTCTGCAAAACGACAAGTTGAAATCACCAAAATTCACGTGGTCTAAGAACGGAACCCCTGACGGCATATCATTCAAGTTCCCATTTGGAACTCAACGCTGCTCACATACGTTAAGCGGGAGTTGAGGTGTGGCACCGTGAGAGACGATAAACACATCCAGCCATTCGCGAAATTCTGACTGCGAATAAAAATTCATTTTTTGATCGACTTCTTCTTCGGCGTTGCCGTCCTGACTGCTTAAAGTCCCTATTCACTTCCCTGAGACGGGAATTTCCATAAAGGGTCATTACTGCGAAAATTTACTTAACAATCTCTCAGTACTAGACGATGGTAAAAGAGGGACGGGTGCACGGGTGTACAAAGTTGGTAATTCGAAGCAACTACTGTTGGCTTTTATATCTTTTTAAAATTCTACAATAAAAGACTCTCGAACGATATGAGAACGCTGGCTAAAATATTTAAAAAATAACTAATTAAAGTGTTTCAAAAACACACGGAAAAAATCATTAGACTTTCCCCGGAACAGTCTTTCCATAAGGTCGAAGCCTACGGCGCATTACACATTAAGTTCTCCTTGGTTTCCCATGGTTACGTTATTATCTTGTGCACTTTTCATTTTTCTTGTTTTTTTTTTTCTGTCTTATTGCCTCGTTCGTATTTCGTGAATTTAAGTTTCTCTTGTTGCCCAATGGCTGCGTTAGTCCCAATACTGTGCAATTTAAGTTTTCCTTGATGTTCGATTGTTTCGTCAGTATCTTGCCCACTTTTAGTTTTCTCTTTGTCCGATTGCCACCCTGAAATCTAAAATGCTTTTCCATTCTTCATTATTGTCCATTTGTTACGCAGGCATCTCACACACTTTTAGTCATTTTTAGACTCTAAGTTCTTCACGAATATTACGAGTACAAATGACCACAGCCTCGCCTACCTCCTTCCCCACGCCACCAAGGATCATACAAGCTAAGAAGATCAAGAACCTTTCAGTTACCACGCTTTCGTACGAACCGTTTTAAGAACACTTTTATTCCAGCCATGTGCCGACGTATTAATGACAATCTCTCTTCTGAAGAGTGTTCGGCTCTAAAAAGCCTTAGAAAACGCAAAGACATAGTTATCAAAGCGGCCGATAAGGGCGGCTCAGTCGTTGTTTGGCGCACCGACCTCTACCAAAAAGAAGCTTTGCGGCAACTTTCTGACACCTTTTTTTAATCAGAAGGTCGACAAAGAGTCACTGCCGGCAATCAAAACACCGTCAAGAATACATTCAACCAACTCATAACTAAACAAGAACTGCCGGCCACAACTCGTCATAACCACTCCTAGAACTTCCTGTATTTACTTTTACCTAAAATTCACAAACCTAACAACCTGGGTTGGCCAATTGTCTCGGCTTGCAGTTGCCCCACCGAACTTATCTCCAGCTATCTAGACAAAATTATGGCTCCCATCGTCAAAACTTTACCATCATATATTAAAGACAGCCAACACGCTCTTCATATTTTTCGCGATTTTAATTTCCTTGGCCAGACCAAACTTCTTTTCACCATGGATATTACGTCTATTTACACTGTCATTCCTAATGGCGACGTTCATCTGGCCCCTAAACATTTTTTTGATCAACGTACTGTTAAGGAACCTAAATCTGAAACACTACTACGCTTAGCCGAACTAGTGCTCACACTCAATTTTTTTTTTTCATTCGGGGACAACTTCTTCAAACAAACCAATGGTGTAGCCATGGGTACCAAAATAGTACCTAGCTATGCCAATATTTTTCTAGGTTTTGTCGAACACCAATTTTTCAGCCAATACAACGGGTCCAAACCTGAACTCCACGGTCGCTACATCGACGACTGTTTCGGCGCTACCTTCTCTACCAGAGAGGAGCTGACTCAATTCATAACCGCAGTCATTTCTTTTCACCCAGTTCTGAAATATACCTGGGAAATTTCTGACAATTCTTTATCCTTTTTAGACATCAAAGTTTCAATTGAAGGCAACGGTTGATGTACTAGTGTGTATTACAAACCTACAGACTCGCCTAATTACTTGTTGCATTCGTCTTCGCATCCATCTCACGTTAAGAATTCCATTCCTTTTTCTCACTCTCTAAGACTTCGTCGTTTTATGTAGTGATGACTCTGATTTCCACCACAAATCAGAGTCAATGTGTCAGTTTTTCGATAAACGTGGTTACCCTGTTTCTGTCGTTCAAGTGGGTTACCACCGCGCCCAACTTATTGATCGACATTCAGCACTACAAACGTCACAAAAGAAAGATTCCGACGGCATTCCATTCATTTTCACGTTTCACCCTCACAACCACTCAGTTTCTACAAGACTCCCTCTNCAGCCGTCCTCTGCAAAACAACAATGTGAAATCACCAAAATTCACGTGGTTTAAGAACGGAAACCCCGACAGCATATCATTCAAGTTTCCATTTGGAACTCAACGCTGCTCACACACGTTAAGCTGGAGTTGAGGTGTAGCACCGTGAGAGACGGTAAACACATCCAGCCATTCGCGAAATTCTAACTGCAAATAAAAATTCATTTTTTGATCGACTTCTTCTTCGGCGTTGCCGTCCTGACTGCTTAAAGTCCCTATTAACTTCCCTGAGACGGGAATTTCCATAAAGGGTCATTACTGCGAAAATTTACTTAACAATCTCTCAGTACTAGACGATGGTAAAAGAGGGACGGGTGCACGGGTGTACAAAGTTGGTAATTCGAAGCAACTACTGTTGGCTTTTATATCTTTTTAAAATTCTACAATAAAAGACTCTCGAACGATATGAGAACGCTGGCTAAAATATTTAAAAAATAACTAATTAAAGTGTTTCAAAAACACACGGAAAAAATCATTAGACTTTCCCCGGAACAGTCTTTCCATAAGGTCGAAGCCTACGGCGCCTATTGTATATATATTTAACGACCTTCGATATTTCTAAAGTTGTATACAATCGGCGATGAAAAAAAAGCGCCTATATTATTACCTAACTACTTTCTATCAAACAGCCAAAAAGTGTTTCACAGAGCTTTCCCATCTGATAGATAAATTCATGTTTAACAACCCGTAATACAAACGAACATTGACAGAACTTTTAAAATAGCATAATACAGTGTAAAATAATTGTTGTAAATGATAAATTGTAATCAGTATTCTTTTACTGGGAGGCAAGTTGGAAGTCCTCTCAATGCAGTATCACTGAGGAAAAATCATGCTTATTGTAAATTTATTTTAAAAATCATGGCTGTGTTCGAAGAACTTGGAAATCAACCCTTCATCGACAATGCTATTTAAACTAAGCGCTACAAATTGAAGTGGTGCATAATCCACGCACGTCGCCTCAGTAACCCTTTCCAGCTGTTTGATGTTGAGCTTGTAAAAGTTCTCTCTTGCTTCTTTTGTGATTTTTCGTCTACTCGTTACCATGCCTAGGCGTCGGTTAAAAAAATTGACATTGATTTAGAACAGAACATACCTCAGCTCTACTAGTATTGGCCAATTTACACGACGTACTTGTGGCTGACATGCAAGTAACTACCGCTGAAAAATGTTGAATAGATAAGGTCACACGTTTTCTAACCGGCACGTAGCGAAATCAAGGAAAATTAAATGTTTTGATCACGGGTGAAAATTGTGCCATGTAGACCGGCATTTGAACTAACGAAATCCAGGGGCTACTTCGCTTGCCAGAGAAGGCAATGCTTTTAAACGTAGCTTCCCCGTTTGGTTTATCGTAATTAGGGCAGTTTTCATTGAGTGTCAAAGAAAAGAAAAAAAACAAAGTGCTCCCAGCGACCGATCATGTTTACATTGTCGTTAACCCATGAAAACTCAAGATGACAAAAAGCAAACTGCTTGAAGGGCGGAAAAACATGAATGACCGCGTTGCCATTGTTTTTTGGGTTGGTTTGGTTGCGAGGAAAGTATGGGTGTTCTGGATCCGTCAATCAAAGAGCAAAATTAAGCAAACCCAAAGCAATCTCTGACTACTTTCGGCACTTAATAGAAAATGGCTTGATTGTCCATGGAGAAGAAAAGGTAACTACCACGCATAGGCCAATTACGAGAGAAGTCATAGGAATAACTACCTTGAATATGGGTATAAAATATATCAGAGTTACTTAATATCGAGTAATCATTTCCTTTTTTCATTTCCTTAAGAACCCACATTGATATTTCTACTTTTGAATGTCTTTTAAAGAAGAGGCAGGTTTTTTAGATAGATTTAATAGATTTTTTAAATTTTTTTCGTTTCACGCACATGTTTTAACGAGTTTTTCTCACTCCTAGATGTAGCGTGGGTAAATAAAGTATTGTATTGTATTGTATTGATTAAAAAAGCATCAGCTACTCGTTCGTGCGACACGGAAAGTGGTTTATCGAGACACTTACCCTGTTTGTGCATATCCTTTCATCGCAGTTGCAGTTACTTCCCTGCAGCTTTGCAGTCACATTGACCTGCGCCTCGCGCATGGGCGCACTTTTTTCTTCCATAACAAGAGCAACCAGCTTTCTGCTGTAAATATATAGAAGAAATGCAGCGAGTTGAGCTAAAAGAGCTTCAATTTTTCTAACACCACAAAGGTTAAGCAAGGTACTGTTGCTTTTTATGGCTCCTACTGAGTAATTCATCAATAAAGTAGGGGAAGGTACACTTTGCATTTCTTCCCAACAGCTTTGCAGTTACAGTTGCCTTCACTTTCCTTTTGGGTACACTTTTTCCTTCCACAACAAGAACAACAAGCTAATTGGTAAGAGTAGAATAAACAAGGCTAAAATAAGCAATTACTTGTGCGAAAAGAGAGCATTGGCTGTTATTTTTATCAGTATTTCTCCCCAACAGCTTTGCACTTTAAATCCCCCTCTTTCGAAACAAAACCAATATCTAGGGGAGAATGAGATAGATTCGAGGAACAGGTCAGCGTCCGATCAATAAAAGCTGACGCATATGTGAGTAGGGAATTGAAATAAACATCAATCGCTAAGCTTGGATAGGTTGATCGTGTCTAGATTAGCATAAGAAAGATCATAAGCATACTTGCTGAGGACTTTGCTATCCACATTTTGGGCACCGTGAGGTGGTATTGATTTTCAATGAGAGGTATATCAAGACAATCGTTTTAATTTCATCATCGCAAAATCCTGTGGTGTTAGTGTTGGAAGGTAATCATCGGGTATAGGTTGGGGTTTATGAATTTTCAGACGATACTCTACCATAAAATGATAGGGCTCCAACTCAGCTAGTTCTCGGTAAAACATCTGGGCGGCAGAGATTCCAGGTTGTGTGTATGAGGAATGAAGTCTTAGTGGCTCTTCTAGGGTATAGTACCGATGTACTGGCGTCCTTGCGATGTCGTGTTGTGAATCAGGCATTTGTGTGACGGGTCCTACTGCAGCATTTCGTGTATCATACATCTTAGCGGTATGGTACGAATCTGTTGGCGTTCTTCCAGAGGCACCATCAGGCGTGTTGTCCTTCCGTGAATGATCTTCTCCTGCCTAAGAAAAAAACAACGTTCTTTCCAACAACTTTCTTTTTTAAATGATATTAATAATGATAAACTTCAGTGACCTCCTTCACAATCGTTATCGAGGGGGATAGACAGTAGGTTTGTGTTACTCAGGCCTGATCGCCGGTCAAGGTGACAGTGATTCCTTTTTTTCCTAGTTCGAAAACTGGTAATGATGCGTATAGTTTTTAACTGAGTAGGAAGGAATTATGGCACTCCTTGTTGAATCGATTCAAGCAAAAACACGAACAAGCGAACTAAACAAAAAGTAACAAGGACAAGCAATGAAGTTTCGGATGACCAAAGATTCTTCAAACATGTTATTTTGAAGGGGTACTAACTGCCACCTATACTTACAACCTCCACCCTTACCGCTTTGACCGCAGATTCTTGTTTAATGAGCGCTGACCTGTCAGTAACAATTCAGGTTCGTATTAGTGCCATGATGAAAGTCATGTTTATAAACATTTTCACATAGATCAAAAATAACCTTAGTGAGTACAAGCTGACTAAAACACATGGTTTTCGGGGGAGATGATAGGGAGACCAGTCGCTAACAGAATAAAGACAAAGGGTGGGGTGGGTGACTGCAAAAAAAATTAACCATCAATTAATTCCCAATGAGGGGGGAGTAGGAAGATCATAGAGGGGCATCAGGTAAATTTTATCATGACGCAATAGTAATCTTCCGATACTCTCCCCGCTCCCCCCTCCCCCCTCAGGCGGTAAATAACGACAAGTTCCTAATTGTGTCAATATGTACGGTAGTTAAAAAAAATTGACGTATTATTGGTCAATAACTCTTTCGTTGGTAAATTATTAATAAAACTAAGTTAATATTTAGCAAAATATTGCTGCAGGTAAGATATGAAAACTCTCTTACACCGATTGCAGCCGAGGCAAGTATTTCATCGCCAAGGAAACATACCTGTTATAAGGTGTGCTTTTTTGCGAGACAGTTTCAGACAGCTTCTGTTTGACCTTATCACATTGCAATTCCAAACAAACCTAGAAAAATAAGAATTTTGCTCGAGCGTACATTTTGCTCTCGTTCCTTTCTCTGATAGTGAAGACAACATCACCGGACTTAACAAGAAAATCTCCAGAAATCTCACTGGCTAGAGGCATGACTTGCTTCCTTCCCAAACTTGTGAAATCACCAAGAACCTCGAAAACCGGTTCATAAGGATAGGAGTCACCGAATTCGTTGCCAGAAGCAGTTATAAAATGACTGAGTTTCTACGAGCACCCTGGTTGGTTAAAAATCTGATTACACTGGTAAACCCATAGAAAAATTAAGTTCGCCCATTTTGACACATGAAGTCACCGCTTTTAGTCTGAAATCAAGTGCAGTAGTTAATTGTGTTTTACCAGAGCAAGTCTGAAATCCATATAAGAAAACATATCATGCTTTATTAACCACAAATTTGTCATTTAGACTCGAGATGTTTCTTCTTTGAAAATCGTCCTTTAACATAAAGTACCAAAATTTTCAAAAACGGGCGTAATTTTAAGTATAATTTGGAAAAAATTCCAACGATGCTAGTGGCAAGATATTCTACCTTTACTACCTTTACAATCTGTAAGGGCCTGGTCATGAGTAGAAATTGAGAAAATGCTACTCCGAGACAGGAGGTGAAAAGTATCGTCTATAATTCAATCTAAGTCAATCTACTTAGAAAAGCAGACGCTCAAAACTGAGTAAACACACGAATCTTTATGAACTGTTTATGGACATCTTTGGGATTCAGAGAGCATTATAATCTGCTCTTTTACACCGCTGAAGCAATGTTGGTGTCAAATCCCAAGCGTTTGCAATGCGCTTAATATGGAGTAACACGAAGCATGTATCATCTATCTTGTTAAAACATATTGCAATTCCTCAGACGCAGTTTGACATTCGAAAGAGCATTGTCGCAACCTTACCTCGTCTGTTTTGCTCGGCTTCTGTGCTGTCCAGGTCAATTCATCTATGTCATCAAAAAATCCAGCCTCTTGGAGCCTTTTAAAATCAAGACACCAACGTGGATCGCTGCCTGTGGTTGATATAGGCACAATCAAGATGCCAACTGTCGGAATATCCTTTTCACATTTATAGGAATCTTTCCATTGAGCTCTGATTATCTCCCTGTAAATCATCGTTTGATGAAGTTTCCCCGAGAAGTTTGTTGCTCGATCCCAAATCGAGTGATTTTCATCACGGGGCACTATCCAATCGACAATTATGACTGTACCATTCTTCATGACACCAATGGCATCGATTTTACCCCTCCAGCAGTGTATATCATCGTCCATTTGTTGTTGCTTTGTATATCCATGAATCTTTAGTTCAGAGGCCCTGAATTTAAATCCAAAATGTTTTTCTATATTTTCGACAAATTCTTGTAGTAATTGCTTTTCCTCGTGCTCTAAATCAACTCCACTCTTCTCTCCCTGAATCTTCCTTATCACCTGATTTAGCAGACCGTGAGCTCTTCTCCCAGATCTCATAGAAGGCATGGAAGTTGAACGCTCCGTCTAACTGGCTCCAGATGAATTCTTCGATGTGAAAGAGGCTTGAACGATAGCAATGTTTTTGGAACGGTCCTTTTTAAACTACGAGTGAGCAAATCAAAACATAATGAAAATGGAGGAAGACCATATTTACATTTGGAAAGTTTATTTACATTTTATTGCTCCTACTACTACGCCATTTTACCAAATAGGGTCATGACAACGCGCAAAAAAGGCACGGTGTTACCCTTAAAAAAAAAAAGAAAAGTACAGAACTACAAATCTTTGAAGAGCTTGTGGAGAGCAGCAGCAGATATGTTCATTACATTAAAACTTCGATCAACCTGCTGTTCGCAAAACCCTTCCAACTCCCCCCCCCCTCGTATTTTGTCTTTTTTTGCTGTATTTGACGACCATTCCACGGTAATTAAATCATCGTGTTCTCGACTCGAGTCATCTATGTCGTAGTCGTCCTTCTCTATTTATCGCTTGCCTCCCTCCAAAATCTCTAAGGAACCAACTCGAAAGTTTGGAATATCTGTATCTGAGTTTTGTTCGTTTGCATACTTTTCCTTTAAATGTGTT